TTCAGACCAGATGGAGGTGTGGAGTGGTCTGGAGAGGATTTGAATGCTGAAGGATTGATTGCGTGAGTTTATAAAAAAATCTTACTCCAAATTATTTCAGCCAACTTATTATTTTTCATTCGATCCGATTAGGTATATGTTTGATATAATATATGTGACGTGGTTTGTTCACGTTCTGAGCATACTCTTTGAATGGATTTGGTGGTTTTATCTGGTGGTAAGTTGTCTACAAACCACTGTCGACATGTTCTCTAAATTAAAGGTGCCAAATTGTAACAATTTTTTGATTCTATCAAAAAGATACCGATTTTTGCCGGCTACAAAATTTGGACGATCTTCTTAAAACCAATGTTTGCGAATAATGGCGATGAACTTGTTTCGCAGGAGAAAAGTAAACGTCAGGCAAAAAAGGAAAAACGACCAGCCGTCAAATATTTGAGATGATTTTGATTTGTAAAATAACTCAAATTTTTAATCAAATGTATTAATAGAATCTTGTTATTGGTTATATATAATTAAAACTATCATAATACTTATTAATTATGAAAAATCAAATTTCATGATAAAAATAATAGAGGTTTTCGGATAATTCCTAATATTCACTTAATAATAAAAAATAATTAATCCATTTTTCTTTTAAAAAACATATAAGCAATTTATTAGCCATTGCAAATAGTCCAGGTCATGTTAATTAATTTAATTATATGTGATTTTGATATAATTGATTAAGAAAAAATTGTCACTTTTCTTTCATTTGTAAAAATTATATTATGAAAAAATTTTTTATTTAATTAATATTAATATAATTATATATGATTTTATTTAATTTTTATTAATTTTTTATTTAATTTTTTATCAAGTCCAAATATTAAAAAGTCTATATATTTAAAAAAAAAAATTTTTTTTTAAACCTGCATCAGACTAATATTGTTTAATTAAATCATAGAACCATTACAAGTAAAAGAATATATATATGGTATAAATTATTTTATTGTTGACTTAATTGTTAAAATTCTCAAAAATAATTGCATCTGACTTAATTATTTTATATATTGTATTTTAATAGTGATTCAATTAATTATATCAAATAATTGTATCAAATTGTATCAAGGAACTATCAATTTCTATTATATATATATAAGAGAATATATGCAAAATATAAATCTTCTTAATTCAACTTATTTATTAATAACTGAAATCTCTAAATATGATTTATAAAAGTGATATATTTTTTTTTTAATAAATAATATTAAAATTCAAAACTTTTAATAGAATCAAAATCTGTATATTATCTCTATAGTCATAATTATAAATTCAAATTGTATTAATTCTTTCTTGCAAAAACTATATAAGAGAAAAAAAATAAAAAAAATTTTTAAAAAAGAAAAAAACAACACAAGTATATACAAAAAAAAAGATACTAAAAAAGAAAAAAAATTATTATCTATTTTAACTATTATTAAAAAAATTATCTTTATAATTTAAAACTCAAACCCTTTATAATTGTTATTGTATTTATTTTTACTATTTGTAGTCAATAAAACTATTTAATTTTTATTGAAGTGATAATATCCAAAAATATTTAAAAACACTTTCAGAAAAATATTTTTTGAAATTTTATACTTAAAAATTTTAATCAAAAAGATATTAATTTTTTATTGTTGATTTTTTTTTTAAGTTATGTCTTTTAAAATTATTATTTTACTCAACTAATAAATAGTTTCAAGATCTTTCTCTTCAATTATTTTCAAAATAAATAAATATTGCTTTAACTTGTTATCAGATTAAAATAGAACTTGAATTTTGTATTTACTTCTTACCTTTAAAAAAAATAGAAAAAAATAGGTAAAAAATAAAAAAAAACAAAAAATATATCATTTTTTTTTACTTACAACTTTAACTTTATCTAATATTTATATATTTTTTTTTTAATTAAAAATTGTCTAACTTTTTTAAAAGCCAATTATATTATCAAATTTAATATTGTACAACTAAAAACATATGAGAGAATATGTCTTGTTTATTTTTTTTATAACTGATATAATTAATTAATTTGTAATTTTAATTAATTATTTTTTATAAAATCTGATATAATCAAAATTTAAAATCAAATTAAGATAGATAAAATTTCTTAAAAAAATTAAAAAAAAGAAAACATACTTAAAAAAAATAAAATAGAAAGTTAAAAAAATAATAGAAAAACTGGAAACTTCCTTTTTTTTATTTTTTTGAATTTTTAAATCTTTTAAGAGTTTTTGAAGTATATTTTTTCTTATCAATTTTCTTTTTAAAAAAGTATTTTTGTTATAATTCTCTTAGATAGATTTCTTGTATTTAAATACAGAAATCAATAAGAAAGATATTTTGAAAAAGAAAATATAAACAAATAATAGTTATTACTTATTTTTCTAATTAAAAACTAATATTGTTAAAGAAAATATATAAACTTTATTATTATAAAGATATAAAATTTTTTGAGAATTTCTATTTTTTGAATTGAAAAAAGAATTAATAAAAAAAGTTTTTTATTTTTTATTTATATATTTAAAAATTTATTATTATTACAGAGGCCTATCATATTATTGTGGACACTTTTATTTTTTAAATAATAAAAAATTTTATTAATAAATAAATTTTAA